AGAGAGAGAGAGAGAGAGAGAGAGAGAGAGATTAGAGTATAGAAAATAGATACAAAAACAATATTATCTATAAATTGCATACAAAAATATGTTGAATAATAATATAATGTATAAATCATACCTCGTATATTCAGTGTTCATAATAAACATTACATAACAATTGAATGTATAATAAATTAGTTTACAAAACGCGTTATTTCATACACTGTACACACAGTGAATGCGTTGAATGAATGAATGAAATTAATTAATACTTTTCAAAACAATACAAATTAACACTAAATTTTGTTTTCAAGACACGTATTCATTTGTGTTTAGACAAGATTATTATTTGAATAGGAAATTTATTTAAAGCAATCCAAGTGCTAATATCCAGGTCTCAAAATAAATCAATATCTAAAACATGTATATTTCAATTCACATGTTATAATGAATTGAATTGCAAACAATTCTCGCAATACATTCACACAATTATATCTTACTTTACAATGGGATCGCAAATGCGAATGATATGTGTTTTGCATGAATGCATGCATTAATCAAGTAAATACCCAAATGAATTGACACAGAATCCTATTATAATGTATATAAATCACAACTACTTTGATATCTACCGATTGTGTGTTATATAATTAAATTTTTGGCAATTAATTTTCAGCACATGGGTGTCGGAGATAGTGACACAAAAATTAAATTAATTGCATTTTAATAGGTATATTAAGAATATGAATTCATTGGTTTTAGCTTTTATGTAATTTTCTAGTCAATGTTGAGATATTTGACAGAATTGTGCATGACTAAATATATTATTATTCTGCTTTACATTTGCAAATAATCATTAAATCCAGAATATCCTTTAAATTAATTCATAGAATATTCTTTATTACAATTTATAATGATGATTAATATAATAAGTAAACATGGTTTAATAAATATTTTATTTTTGCTAGCTGATTAAGAATTTCTAGTTAAACATCAACAGAAATAATTTATTTGTTTGCAAACTCATAATAAAAATACAATGCAATGTATCATTTTTCAATTTTATGTTTTGATTATAGTTTTATTTCACAAAACAGAAACCATTGAAAACAATACAGAATCCGCAGAATTGATGCTAAAAATAAAAATAAGTTCCCATTTATTGCTGTATTAAAACTCTTACATAAAAAATCTCTGCATTTTATGGGTTTTTGTTTCCAATTTTCCCATTATATATGGCTTTCAGTATTGGAGATAAAAAAAGTGGTGTATATTTTACTACAGATAATCAATGGCTGAGACATAATCATAATAACAGTCATAATGACTCTAAAAAATATAGTTTTTTATATATAAATTGCTATCGATTGCAAATTGCAAACAAAAACAGAGTATTTTAAGATAAAAATGTTGCTATAATCTAGTATATTGTGTAAAAAGTTTATTTATTGCTAAAAATGTCCACAGAATATATTTGATAATTGTGCTTGTGTATGATTAGAATTAATATATTAGCTTAATATTAATTGCTATAATTAATATATTTTACAAACACAGTCAATTCTGTTAAATAATTTTAATTGCATTTCTGTTTACAAAATATATATCTATTTTAATTGCACATTATTTGCATTATAAGTTTAATAATTAAAATTCCTGATTACACATTTTAAATAATCTTGCACCAATATCTCTCATTTCCATTTATTCATCAGGTTTAATCAATTGCTGGATAATAGACTTATATGAAAAGGGCTGGAATGCGTATCCAGCTCCTTCATAAAATTTGCTATTAAACTCGACCCTGGTGAATAAATTTAAGATAATAAATAATTTATTGTTCAAACTATTAACGCCTTACCAGTGAAGTCGTAAGGCGTGTAGGAATGCCGACAATCCCTCCATCAATAAGAGTATAGCTATGGTTAGGGCAGCCCAGGCAGCAAATATGACCCACATCATGATCCCGGTGACTATGTTCATCACGTCAAATGGTGGTCCATCATGCATTTCTGTAGTATCAGGGTTTAAACATAAAGTATTTCTAAATAATTAAACATTTATATAAAACTAGTCTGTATTTAGATTTAATATAATATGGATATGAATTCAGTAAACATTTGTATATTTAGGATATGTTTGAGACAGATATTGATGTATTGGAAAACATCGTGCGTTTATCGCATCAATATATGACAGAATATTTTATAAACTTATTTAACAATATTATTGTTGTTATATTCTGTAGACAGCAAAACATTTATTATATTTTTCTCGGAAATTTGAATTTAGGTTTTGGAAATTCAGGATCTCTCTCTCTCTCTCTCTCTCTCTCTCTGATAAATTATTTTTCACGAATAAAAAGTAAACCAATGAATAAATACAAAAAACAAATAACGAGAATATATCAAATAAATTAATGGTTTACTCCAAAGCGGAATCAATACATTATATGATATATTGAGTGAATGCACGCATAGACTGTATGGGAAAGGCATACGAAATAAACACAACAAAAATTTCTTATGATAAATAAGCCGTAAAAATATATTTCGTGCAAAACTATGATTTGTTTATCAAGAGGAGAGAGAGAGAGATAAAGAAAGAAAGAGAGAGAGAGAGAGAGAGAGATAAAGAAAGAGAGAGAGAGAGAGAGAGAATATTCTTATAAAACTGCTATCATAACTATATAACATAATATTTAAAGAATTATTACAGAATAACTACATAAATAGCGAGTAAACCACAGAATATTCTTACGCATAAATCCCTCGATCATAACCATATTCCAGAGGACTTCACTGAGCTGGGAGTGGGCCAAACTCAGGGCCCATAATCGCAAATAACTGGCCGTATGGGATATGGAGCCAAGACAGTACTCGATCGTATGAATCGCTTGGTGTATGAATATGTCGCCAAAATCAAACTCCCCGTCCCCGTGACCTCCATGTCCTCCGCCAGTACTTGAACTGGCTCCTTGTCCACTATGGGATGCCTTTCCATTGTCATCGACACTGATCTTAATCTCATTGATCTCCACGTTATTAAACGCCGACCTATTTGTCGTCATTTCTATGTTATTATGCGATTCGTTATCATTACTAATGTATGTACTCTTTGTACTAAAAATCAAATACAAAATATAATTCAAAAAATTAACTTAATTATATATTCAGACTAATCATAGCCAGGTACTTTTTACTGTTATGTTGATGTCTTAGCCAAAATGGTTTGATAAGCAGCATCCATGGTATGCATACCACGGCAAGCACCAGTAGTATAGTCTGTATGAGCTCTTGGGGACCATACATGGGATCTCTAAGATAACACGGGTCAGCACTTGTTCCCTTTTTGAACAGGAACATATTGATGAGTGTAATGAGTATGGATGGGGCACAGTTGGAGTTTGAGGAATCGTAGGCAAACCACTTCCAAAATATCATGAAATCCATGTAACCAAATATAGCCATCAAGAATATCACTTGCGGTATGAATTCGCATAATATGTTCACATAATGCTTGAAGTGGCTATAAAATACATCACAGAATATTCGTTGTGGTTATTAGTTATACAAACACTTTGTACTATACTCATATACTATACTATAAAGTGTCCAAGAAATCTTTATAAGAATATATAATTATTAACTAATTAAATATAAGTTAGATTCCAGATTATTTATGAAAAAGTTTGTAATATACATTATTTTCAATTAATTTATGCTCACAAGTGGTTAACGATGCTTAACATAACGCCAAATATCATTTGAATAACTCCTAACACAACCGATGTCTTCATTTTGTATGTGTTGAGAAATATTATCTTATTCGTGGCCAACTGCCATATCTGGATTATCAGGGTCAATTTCAAAGCAAATATTTAATAATGTTAAAACCAATCATAAGATTACTAATTAAACAGAAAAATAAATTATAGGAATATTCACTATATTAACATAGCATAAAACTTTGTTCAAAATGACCACATACCGGGTCCATTCCGAACGGGTACGGTAGTGTGTCCGGTTTAGTCTCATTCTGGGGATCAAGTGTCATATCCGGGTCAAACCTATAGCTCCCATTTTCCAGTAACCTGGGCTCCGGGGTCTTCCACTGCGACCCAAACAGGTTCATAGACTTCGAGAAGACATCGTTGTATATAAAGCCGGCGTATATGGAGAACAGACCCATCATTATAATGATATACCGACCCATAAAAAACATGTCCCATATCTCGCCCCAGTTCTTACGGGACAGGGATCTCTCCTTCCATATCATCCACAGCCCAAATAAGGTCATTATGAGGCCGTGTCCCGCGTCGCCAAACATTACCGAGAATATGAACGGAAAGGTAACGCAAGTGTAGGGCATAGGGTTCACCTCCCCGTAGTTGGACACACCGTACGCGTCCACTATAGCCTGGAAACCGCGGGTGAACTACAAAAGGAAAGGTATGTATCAGAACATAAATAATACTAGTGAAGTTTGTTGTGAAAGTTGCCATGTATCTGATTTTAAAACATGATTTTAAATAAATATTTCTAAAAAATATTGGTTACAGTCTAAACAAAAGAAGTTTTATATTTAACAAAAACCTTTAAATATGAGCGAGCACACAGTACACACAGTATACAAAACTTTAATGGATAAGCTCATTGAAATATTTATTTATTTTCAAGTTTTAAAATCTAAAATCAAATCCAATTAACACTCACTTTATTAGTAATGTTGAGCGTCGGCGGCGTCTGAGTAGTGTCTATACGGGTCAACACCGACGGTACGGCCGTCTGGGAGGTCCTCTGGCCCTGAATGAGCGCCTCCTGTATTTTGGGTATGAATATGTCGGGACACCAGCACTCGGCCACCAAACACTTGGACGTCACGTCGATGTTAAACATATTCATCGTCTCGTAAATGGACTTCATTTTCCGGATCATAACTTTCCATTCGAGTAGATTCTTAGCCACGGCTACCAATATGCGGGTCCTGTGGTCCTCCGTGCCCTTCATCACGATCTGTAGTTCCTCGAGTCGGTTGTTGACTCCCCGCAGCATCTCTGCCCTCTCGCCCGGCATTTCCGGACAGGGGTATAGTGTCGTGTGGTATCTGTAAGTATAGGATCTCTGATATTAATTTTGAAAATGTCATCATTTCTAGTGTAAACATTATAACTCCCAAAATATAGCTTAGAAATGACACAAACTGACCCCTCGCAAATCTTTTTGCACTTATTCTTAAGCTGGTCGCCCTGAAACACGATTATAAATATGCATTTGGCTTGCATTTCGCCCGTTTTCGGGTCCTCCAGGCGCTCATCGATGTCCACTTGTCTCAGAAATATATTTCCTCTGCAGACCCGCCATAACATCTGCTCGAATGAGTGGAACTTTTGTCGCAAAATTGTGCCGGCTATGAAACTTTAGTCATAATAAGCATGGTTTAGTATAATTTATAGCGCAATAATGCAGAATATTCTTTAAGAATCGTACTTAATATCAGTGACGGGATCTAATGGTATATTGATCTCTTGGTTAACGCTAGAGAATCGCCGCATAAGCCTCGGGTCGACCACCGAAACTCTACGGATCTCTTTGCGAGTGGTTGAGTCCGCTTCCTATTTGGGCATAAAAAGCAAATATTATTGTTTCTAAAACTCATTAATTAGCTTTTAGAAAATGGTGTGTATATAGGAATGGGATGCGAGACATACCTGTGCCTCCTCGAAGAACTGACCCGTTTTCTTAAGTATGTTTCGAAGTTCTGTGAACTCCAAGTAATTTCGCTTCAAATCGGCCGATGTGTTGATAACACCGATCAAATCGGTCTCTATTTTCTGGAACTGTGCCTAAATATTATCGATATATTTGTCAATAAATCATACTTTTTGAGAGTTCATATAAGTCTTTGTATAATATATATAATAATTCTTAAGAATATTATGATGTCTTAATCAATCATAGATTTATTGCAATGTTTATCACGTATAAAAATAGCGCATAAAAAGTAATTTATATTTTTTTGTGAAAAGTTAAAAAATAATCATATAATTCATATAATGGTATATCATTGATATAATATGATATAATATCAATGAAGTGCATATGAAGTATCTCTTATCCGTATAAATCAAATTCAGTTTTTTGTGTGTGAATTGAATGCAGATATAAATGTCATTTCGAAAATGATTTATATATAAAGTATATTATTTGTGATGAAAATACAGAATATTCTTAAGAGAGAGAGAGAGAGAGAGAGAGAGAGAGATTAGAGTATAGAAAATAGATACAAAAACAATATTATCTATAAATTGCATACAAAAATATGTTGAATAATAATATAATGTATAAATCATACCTCGTATATTCAGTGTTCATAATAAACATTACATAACAATTGAATGTATAATAAATTAGTTTACAAAACGCGTTATTTCATACACTGTACACACAGTGAATGCGTTGAATGAATGATTGAAAAATGATTTTCTCCAAATAAAAATTTGAATTTAAAATTTTTGGGATTATAATCAGTCAAACATTTTTGCCTATAATAAAGTGATTTAAAAATGAAAAATAAATCAAAGCTTTTAAGTAAAGTATCGATCGTTTAATAAAAACGGCACAAAATCAAAAGCAAACTTAATATAACAAAAAACTAATTGTATTTTTAATTTAAGTGTTTTGCCAGTGAATGGAGGGACTAAACAATCAATGATAAAATAAAACTAAAAAATAAAATACAAAAAATTCAATTCAATTATACAATACTTGAGATGTTTTGGTATTTTTTGCACAACTCATCGCTCTTTTTGAACCAAAAAATGTGAACAAAAATAATAAAATAAAATCTAAAA